CCAGAATAAGGTAAAATAATAAACCAAACTTACCGATGGACACAAAGCACCTTGGTTTTTTTTGAGAAATGTCCTGGTGAATTTTGTTCAGATATATGTTGGCTTCTTCTCTATAAAGGGTGTCCATCAGTGCAACAGTGTGTCCTGGAAAGTGTCTCCCGCTTCCTGCTGCCTTCTATCATGCTGCAAGTAGTGAATCTCGTCACTACTTTGGCAAGTGACACCACTGTCAAAGTGTTTGAAAAGGTCAGGTAAGTGCTGAGGCTCAACTGCCCAGATAATAGGGAGCTGCTTACAGTTTGAGGAAGCTCCTTTACAAAGATGGGAATAATGTATGTTGGGGGGGCAGAAGCTGGAATTACCAGGTGGATATTTGCATACCAACATGTAACATCTTACCCTTTGTACCCTTTGCTGCAGTGGTCCCCAAGGCGTGTCCTTTGTGCCGTATTCTCTGACCCCAGGCACCAGTGCCCGACCGGCTGTTGTTCGACAATTTATTCTGCTTGGACGGAGCTTCCACCAGTGGCGCTGCAGCACAGAACAAGGTGAGTAGCTGAAAAGTGATTCCTTTACTGCCTTCGGGGTTCAAGGAACTATGTTTCATAATGCAATCTTTCTAGCTGTCAAAGGATTCCAGCGCTTCGAGAGTACTGAGCTTAGCTCTCCAGATAAAGGTTGTGATGTTGCTCCCCGACAAAGATTCCTCTTCATGGAAATCATTGACAAAAAGGTAGGTGTTTGTGAGTGAAAGCTGGGCAGTAATTTGGTGGTCTGAAGTCTGATCCAGCAATGCTGAAAAGGAGTTTTTCTTGTCCCTTTTCCCTTTCCAGTTGGTGTTGTACATTTACAATTGGTCCGTGGACCTGGGCAGTGCCCTGAACAACTCTCTCACTCGCCTACTACAGTGGCAGAATGCTCGAGCCCACGTAGTACACTGCCTGCTTAGCCAGAAGCTTGGGCTGTTCCATCATTACTGTTATATGGACACCCCTTGGCACGAGGACAGCAAGCAGGTATTTACATTCTTTGCTTCTGTTTTCATGATGTTCTGCTGCCTCTAAACTAATGCTACATCTCTCTTTGTCCAGGAGCAAAATCCCTTCCTAAACTCGACCCTGGAAATTGATGCCCTAATCCGGAGCCCCAGTGTTCCTCCAAGCAAGGAGCAAGGACGCCTCAGCAGTTCTGCACGCATCTTGCAGCCTTTGCACTTTCCCCCAGACATGGTGCCCTTTGACGAAGCTCTGCGAGATGTTTCGGTCATCCAGCCTATTGTTCATAACCCAGAACAGGGTGTTCATGACCCTGTAGCCCAGCATGGAGCTCAGTTCCTAGAGATCAAGAACACAGAGAGGAAAGGTAAGTGCAAAGTTAGGTCTAGAGGGGAGTGATAAGCAGGATCCCGCATTACTACTGTTCTGGGGCTATCCTGAGAATCCCTGTGTGAAAACTGACCAAGGAAAAATTCATCAAGGCAATACAAAATAAAGCTATAGAATGCTATAGAGCCAAGTGTAAGGCATCCAGAAAGTATCCATGGTATCAGTCACTCTGAGACATATTCTCTCCAATTGATTTATTTAGGAACAGATCTGGTATGTCTAAGGCAATTTCCCAAAATGAAAGTATTTTCGCCCGTTACACAGAACCCACCTTCTCTCCTCCCACTTCTACACTTCATAAATCACGGGAACCAATTAACTGCAACTGGAATTTCTTAGTACGACATACAGAATAACCTTGAACTTTTCAACTTCTCCACCCCCCACCCCCCTTCCATTATGTGGCAGCTGAATTTCAAAGCTGACACCAGGTTAGTTCCCATTTTCGAAGATGCCAAATCTATAGTACAAATGTGTATGAATTCTTAAAAGTATAAGTTTTCAGTTGGGAATGCTCTCTGGCAAAGAAGAACCTGATAGTCCAAGAATCTCAGAGCCCTGCTCCCTTCAGCTCCTGCTCCTGTTCCCGTTCCACAGAGCTGGAGAAACAGATGAAGATTGAGAACCTTTTTGTGACATGGCAACAGCGTTCTGCTCAATCCAACATGCCCATCAGTGTGAGTTTGGGGCTGGGACATGGGGCTGGGATGTGATAAGCTACAAGAATGATGATGATAATCCCATAAAATGTTTTTCACTATAAGGAAAGACTGTAAATTAAACCAATGTAATCTTGAAAGATAGTTCTCTGAGGATCACTTACTTATATTACTGCTGTTCTCATGTTGGTATAAATTCATTTTTATTAATTGCCAGTGTTCATCATTTGTTTGGACATTACTAGCTGATAGACTATGAACTTGTTCACCCATAGAAATGCTCTCCTCTCCTGCCACTTATACTGTTTCTAGGTGTATTGTGTGGAGCTTATGATTCTTGTAGTTTTCTTGTAAATTGTGTGATCATTGTGGTTTTAAAAAGTGCCAGGGTTTTTATGCAAATAATACTGTACAAATGTAGAAATGGATGTATGTCAGCGTCTCTCTGTCCAAGAGTCACAATAGACTTTAGTTACGTTCCGCAACCTAGAAGCCAGCAAGAACAACTACGTTCAGAAGAACAAATGAATTGGCTTTCAACTGCTTTGAATATATTTTAAAAGCAAAAGATTTAGATGACATAAGAAAAGCCAGAATAATATCCCCAATTCGGGCTCCATTATTAAATCTTATAGTGCAAGAAATTAGTTTTTCATTAAATATTAACAGATTGTTACTTGTTGGGCTCTTAGCGTTCTCTGAGCTTGTTCTCATTTTGCAGAAGTTTAGTTACCTTGCTTAGTAATGCCATCAGCACATTAATATACATTAGCATATGGTGGCTGTTTTTATCCAGCTTATAGAACACCAAGAGCACAGCAATTCAACTGTGAAACTACATATATTCGCCACTAGTGCAAGGAAAATTAATTTTCATACATTGTCTCGGCTATGTCAGAGCAGATCTGATAATCACTGATAATTTTTCTTTCCAGCCCCTTTTTGCTAGATAAGTAAGTTTGAAGCAGCAGGTATATTTATTTCTTGTTCTTGTTTGGTTATCTGCATATATTTAATACAGCAGACATTCATATAAGGTCAGTGGTACGCCATGCCTATTGTCCAGAGAAAAATGCTTAAGAGGTAGATTCCCTTGAAAGCTTCCCATTTGTTCTCCAGGAATGTTATATCAGTGGGGTATTAATACATGGAAATAGGCTTAAGCAATATGCAAAAGTTTTCTCCTGTGTGTATGTGTGCAGCTTGCAGACCTAGACACCCTGAAGCAGTCCTCACGCTTGGTCCATTACTGTGCTACACCCCTGCTCTTTGATCCAGGCTTCCGACAGCAGATTCAGGCAGACCAACAAACCAAGCTGGAAGGCAAGGTGAAACCAGGGGAGAGGGAAACACCTTTCGTAATCCCTTTCCTCCTCAAGGCTTATGAGGGTGGCTCGTAAGAGGATTTCTTTTTCCTCAGATGGAACTAATGGAGGGAACAATTTGATAAGAGCCCAATAAACGAAATTAGAGTAAAACTTCTACCTAAAGAGTCGTTGGTGGAGGGTGATCCTTAAAATGCCATTGTCTATTTATTTGGAGAGCTACTTTTGCATAGGTATAAACAGATAATCTGCCATTTTATAGGTAGCCCTTGACCTGTGACCCTTTGTTTAGTGATCATTTGAAGTTACAGTGGCACTGAATGAAGGATCTTATCACTGTTGCTGAAATTGCGGCTATTGCACCCACCCCACAGTCATGCAGAAATGCAGTGTTTGGCAGTCTGCACGTGCGTATGACCTCAGGGGCACTTCAACTCTCCTCACCTGCCAAAATCCCCCGATCTGGGCCCTTTTGGTCCCTACGGCCCCATTTGCCCTAATTGACCTTGCCAGCTTCTGCTGACCAAGAATGCCTGGCCCGGCCCTTCGCAAGACAGTTGCTGGCACACAAGGCTTTCTTCCCCAGATCATGCACGAGACTTTCCTCATGAGACTTGAGGAAGATGGCCTCACGTGTCAGCAGTTTCCTCATGAAGGGCCAGGCTGGGCATGGCTCATTAGCAGCAAGAGCAAGAAGGTAACAAAGGTCAACTGGGGTGGCAGAGCGCCGGGCAGTGGAAGGCTTGGAGTTCAAGGAAGGGAGGGTGACTGCAGGTGGGACTTGACTGGAGGGGTTGCGGCTGTGGCTTCCCAGAGTGGCAACGAGCCCCTCTCAGTTGCGCTGCGCTGCTGGACCAGGTTGGGTTAGGGCTTTCTGCAGACCCAAAGCTCTGACGCTTCACTGCATATTCTTTTCCCACCTTCCCTGCTCTTGTACACACGCTGTGCCCTCTTTCCCTGACCTTCCTGAGCTTGTCCTATGCTTCCACAACCCCTCCCCCCACCCCAACTCCTGAAGAGCCCGTGTCAGGCTTCTCCCACCTCTTTGCGGCATCCCTGCACTCTTTACCTGGAACTCCCTCCACTTCTCACATAGCAACCTGCACATCTGGAGTTATGACAGCAACCAGGATTGCTGTTACTAAGCAATACGGTCACATGATGTTGCACGATCGGCCGCATTGCTTAGCAGTGGAAATTCTGGTCCCAATTATGGTCATAAGGACTAGAACGTGTGAACATAACGCATGAAGTTATACCTCAGACCTCCTGGTGCTTTCAACATGATTTCCGATGGTGGCCTCCCAACCACTGATGCCAATCTTCCTCCAGGATCCTTCCTTTGTCCCAAACCTTTTGAGACCTTTCAAATCATCATACTTCTCCTCCCTCCCCCCACCCTGCCCACTTATTCTTTCTAAGTTTCTCAGAAACAATTTCACAGACATCATCTATTTTGGGGGGGAATATCTAGACTTGGAGTCCCTTCCATAAATGTCCATTAAATCCCATTATTACTTTATATTCTTAACAAGTAAGGGCTGAATTTATATGGTCTGATTTCTCTTCTAATTATTAAAGCAGTTTTGGGGGCTCATTGCAAGACTGAAGACCATATATCACTGGGCTTAAGGTTATTACATTATATAAGTTCAACTTTTCTCTCAGAAAATATCATTGTTTGATCTATTTCCTCACATTCAGAAGCGCCATCGTTCCAATGACTCCACAGCATCTGGTAGGGACCGTAGCCACAGTTGTGACTCTGCAGAAGGGCTACCATGTAAATCCAAGGATGAGGCCTGGCTGCTGGAACTATGTCATGCCTTTCTCCAGCAATACATACAGTATCTGCAGAGCATGGGCTTCATCTTAGTACAGGTGCGCCCAGCCTCACCTGCTCGCAGGTTAGTATGATTTAGCAAGGACAGGGAATTTACAAGTGAAGTGGGAAGAGGGTGTTTTGTTTTGTTTTTAACTGTTCTGGGTTGTAGTAAGCATATGGCAGAGAGATGCTTTCTTTGGGAAAGAACTTCCTGCAAAATGTGACTGAAAAATTATCAGGTGGAAAAACTTGTTAAAAGTAGTCATGCAAAATTTTAAGTTTGTTTACGATATATTTAATTTTTAAAAAGAGAGAGGTTATCCTGGCAGGTCTTTGAACTTCTTTCTGTATTACTCTGGATTTCCAGCAGCACCAGTCGGATTAGAGCTCTGGCATCAATGGCCGGTGAGACACGGGGCTCCTTCTCATACTCCAGGCCAAAGGCGGATGGGAGTCCAAAGGTAAGAAAGCTAAATATGGGGTAGGTTGCTAGTGTCCGGGTTCCGGCAGTTACTTCAATTAAATCATGAGCCTTGAGCCACACTCCCAAAACTAAAGAGGATTTATTTGAAGGTAACATTCTACGTCTGGCACTAATCTGGGCGTAGCCAACTCTAAGATACGTAATTCACTGTCACCCTTGATCCTGCTTTTCCCCCCACCCCTCTGGGTGTATCAGGCTCTGTTGGCATTGTTGCTTCATCATAGATAGGTGCTTAGCTGAAGGGAGGTTGGGCCACCTAACGGAGAGATTGGACCTCATGTTTCCTAGCCAGTGATCCCTTTGGGAGCATATTTTTTAGGTCACCATCTTGGAGGCGTACTCCTGAAAAAAAAAATGTATTCATTTTCTAGACCATGAACCCTCCTGTCACAGCATACCATTTGCAAAGAGCTTTGCCTGGGGGCATTGTACTAATGGAATTGGCTTTCCAGGTGAGTGGAAATTGCCTTTTGCCATGACCAGACCATATGGCTTAACAAGTAAGAAGAACAACAGTCAAGGTTCCAAGGTCATTCTGAAGATGGATTGCAAATACAATGGGGAAACTTAAGGGTATAGCCAACTATTGTGAGATGGTATGCACTAGAATTGCTGCCGTTGTATGTGTATGTCTGTATTTGTAACCTTTCTAGGCTGAGGGCCATGTCTCAGTTTTTGTATTTTTTTGGATTGGCATGCTAAAAATATGGTTTGAATCCGAGACAAACTAATCTTAGTTTTATTTCATTTAAGTTTATGTTCAAATGTAATGAAAATCATATATATTGTTATGATGCCTTCAGTTATACATTCAGTCCTTTCCCCCTTAATATTGGATTAAAAACTATCTTTTGTAACAAGTTTTGGAATTCTCTGGGGCCATATGCAGCAATTGAGCTATAGAGGAAAAGAGTTGAGATAACCATCATAGATGGAAGCACTATCAGTGAATTAGCAGTTTTAAGGAATAATTTTTATTTTATTTTATTTAGTTTTAGATGCTTTTATGCCACTTCACTTTTTAAACCTTCTTTAAGGTTTAAAGGTCTAAGGGTTTATATGGCATATAGCTGCATCTCTTTTTTGTTGTTCTTTCATACAAATTCCCTTTGGAATTTGGACATATTTGAAAATACGATTTCTGTTTTTATAGATTTTATGCACACACTCTGTGTGTCTGCCTCACAGTTTCTAAGTAAATGTTGTAATACTACAAGAAGCAAATAGGATAAACTCCAAAGACAGTTTACAGAGTGGGATAGTTAATAAAGGTAACTGCAACGTATGGCTGCTATGGACAGATGAAAATTGATATTTCATCTTTTGCTCCTCTTAGGGATGCTATTTTTGCGTCAAACAGTATGCACTGGAATGCTCCCGAATCCCCATGGGCCAGACTGTCAACTCACAGGTAATATTGCCATGATTAGGATTTCCCTAACAGGTAAAACTTGGTGGATGTAGCAAATGTCATCAAAATATATGCACAGGAGACAGCTTGAACCTTGTTGTAGGCTGTCTGTTTTCTTTATTTTTGCATCTTAGGCATTCAGAATCCTGCTCATCAAGCGACCGCTCTCCTGTGATTGATTGATTGATTGATTGATTATATGTTTTCAGCTGAGTGGCAAGTCTTGGTTGTCACGTAGATAACCTTCTCTGGGACTGTCTGCAACCTAGTCCTTCAGGCCTCCTAACAGTGCACACGTTGTTGATATAATTGAGGCCATCCACCTTGTGGCTGGTTGTCTTTTTCTTGTCTTTCCTTCCACCTTTTCCAGCATTATAGACTTCTCCAGAGAACCAAGTTATATAATGTGACCAAAATTGATTAGCTCAGATTTTTCTATGATCCATTTGTATGATTTTCTTGGCTATCTATTTTATTTTCAAGGGTCTTCTCCAACACAAAGTTAAAAAGCATCAATAGTCTTTCTATTGTGCTTCTCCAAAGCCCAACTTTCACATCCTTCAAGTGTCACAGGGAAAATCATTCCCTGCATAACATATAGATGGGTCACTGCATCTGAATATCATTTCCAAGGCCTTATTTTCTATTTGTTGATATTCGGTCGTAAAAAGCAGAAACTAACCAGTCAGAATCTTTATTGTCGGTTCTAAAACTATTTGCCCTACCTGCAATCATTAGTTTGTTCTTTTGTATTATATATTCAATATTGCTTCTATTTTTTTACTTTGCTCCTTGACTTTTATTACCAGAACTTTTCAGGTTATTTGCATTTTCAGCTACCAGGGTAATGTCATTTGCATAGCATAGGTTATTAATGTTTTTCACAGAAATTTTAAAACCATATTTATCTTCTTCCAATCCAGTCTGCCTCATTATATATTCTGCTTTTGGTTAAATAAATAAGGAATGAGTTTGCAGCCTTTTCTCCTTTGACTAGCTGAAGCCAATTTTTTGTGTTTCACCCTTCTTCATTCAGTCTTTGGGTTCCCAACCTGTGTATAGGTTGTCATAAGAGGACAGTGGGAAGTTCCAGAATTCCCATTTTCCTAAGCATATCCTGCAGCTTGATATGGTCAACATATGCATTTCTATATTCCATGAGGCACATGCTGATTTCTTTCTTATATTCTCAGTTTACTCAGTTATCAGCAGGTATATTTGTTGTTCATTAATATTTTCTAAAGGCATCTTGAACCTCTGGTCTTTCTCTTCTCATATATGGTTTTAATTTACATTGGATGATCATATTTTGTTAGCCTATGAAATTTAGCATATTGTGTGATAGTTTTCCCATTCTGCTTTTTTTCTTTACTATTGTGCATATTGACTTCTACTTTGTGTTCAGTGTGTCATTTTCTACATTTGTTGAAATGGTCTTTTTAAAACACTTAGTGATTCTTTTTTCTGTTGCTTGCCATATTTCTGTAGATTTTCCTTCAATTCCTACAGTTGTCTGACTTAGCTATGACTGGAGTGTTGATCTGAGTTCATCTTCTTAATAGAGATTCTTATAAAACAAGAATATATTCCTAGGTTATTTAGCTGTACAGTGGAGGAAGTGTGGAAAATATGTTCTTTGATTCTTTTTGAATAATTGTTATCTGTCCATTGGTATCCTTTAGTAGACAAGTACAAGGTTAGAACCTCCTCCTAATTTTGGAGATCTTTAGGAGGACTATCTTTGTTCTGCGTCTGTTTCCATTTTTCAGTGTTTTTATAGATGTCATTGTATTGCTCCTTGTATCTTCTGACAGATCTCTGAAATTCTTAAAATTCCTTCTTGAGATTCTCTTTCTTGGTTTCAGTTTGTCTTCCATTTGTTCTGAAATCTAGTTTGCTTTCTTCTGTTTCTTGGTTTTTGGCAGTCTCTTTTCACATTCATCCTAAACAAATTACTTGATTTAATTCCACAGTTCCTCTGGTTGCCTGCCAAAGGACTTCAAAGTGATTCCCGGTGTTCTCATTGAAAATGGTGGGCAGATGCTCAAGTTCATATTATGGAAACTGGTGGGTTACTTCTTCCACTTCAGCTTGTAAATGAGCCATTTGTGATTTCAGTTCTTAGCCATACCTTGATTGATGTTCCCGAGGTCTTCCACCTATTTGTATTATAGTACAGTGAATTGATTTTGGTACTAATCATCTGCTAATAATGTATATAGGCATTGCTTTGTTTTACCAATGAATAAGTCATTCTCCTGCTTCAATTCTGTTCCTTAGGCTATACATTTTCCAAATACATTTTCATCCTCCTTGCAACCAAAAGCTGCACATCTTGCTTTTCATGTTTTGTTGATTTTTGTTGAACTTGACCATAAAATCCTTTTATCCTGTATCAGGGGCTAGGGCATAAATGTGGCTAAGTGTCATGTAAAAGAGTTGTCTGCAAAGTCTCACTGATATCATTTGATAATTGACTGTATTGTGTCCATTAACTCTTGTTGCTATAACCTTTCTGACAATGAAATCTGTGCTACTCTTTCCTTGTTTTTATGTATTGAGTAGCAAACAGTATGATTGTTTGAAAGAGTCAAATTCCAATCCATTTCTATTCACTGATGTCTAAGATATTCGTGTGTAATCAATTCATTTTATTTTTCACTGTTCATGCTTCTTATCTTCCATGTTCCTACTGTAATTTTTTTTTTCAGCTTTAGATTTCCTGTATGGCAATATGGACAGATAGACATCTGGAAGGCTTCAGTATAGCCACATCACAAACATTAGTAGTAGTTTTTCAGTTATGTAATTGTTTAATTATTGATCCTCTGCTCCATGTTAAGCACCATCCAACCTGAGAGGTCTGTCATCCAGCACAATATCATTAATCCTTTTAGGTTATCCATCCACACGGTTTTATGATAAAATAGAATAGAATTCTTTATTGGCCAAGTGTGATTAGACACACAAGGAATTTGTCTTGGTGCCAATGCTCTCAGTATAATGCAAAATGGTTTGTCTTCTCCCTCGCAGTATGAAATTATGCCTTTGCCTTTGTCACTAAAATGCATAAAACCTACCTCCAGCAATTTCCACTGCTGTTATATATTAGTTGCTTTAGCTAGGTAACTGAGATGATTTACAGGTTTTGACCCAGCTGGAATATATATACTCCTGGCATTCTTTGCTGTTCCCTCCCAGGAATACCCCCTCCACAATGAAAAAACGTAGCAGAGCTTGAGGGAACATCATCCCATATCTCACTATTTTTTCAATTCCTGTTCCCTACAATCTGTCAGGCCTGGAATTCTATGCTATTGGAATGCCTGGCCTCTCCACGCCATTAAGCATGCAGCATACTTGATTTGTTGCTGCAGACTTTCTCTAATTTTTATAAATGCAGGGTTTTTTTTCTTCTATGTTACCCTGTGTTATAATTTGTTCGGTAGACCTTAGCTTTGATTTCCAGAATGGAGGGTATCTCAGTTGCATCTTGGTTCCTCTATTATGCTGTGTCTTTTGCTGGAAAAAAAAAATCGTGATTGTCAGAGTGCAGAGTTACAGACCACCTTTCATACTATTAATCCTCCCATCCTTCCTTTCACCCATCTCCTCCCTCTTATGACTGTATGACTGTAACCTTGTTGCTTATATCCTTACAATCTATGTTGATTGTTTCCTAGTATGATTGGATTGCTTATTGTACTCTATGACTATTATTAAGTTTTGTACCTTATGATTCTTTGACAAATGTATCTTTTCTTTTTATGTATACTGAGAGCATTGGCACCAAGACAAATTCCTTGTGTGTCTAATCACACTTGGCCAATAACGAATTCTATTCTATTCTATACATTATCTCATTAGGTGTAGACGTGGACTGAGTTTTACAGGATGCAATTCCTTCTTTGGGTTGGTTCTTTGTTTGGTCATATCTACACCTGGTTGTAGATATGGGGTCTCTTACTGCACTGGGGAAGTTGGTCTGCCAGAATAGTGTGAGCACAGAATATATGACATTCCTTCCTTCAGATCCAGGAAATAATTAAACCTTTATATTGTGTGTCCACTGCATGGAGCATCAAAATGTGAAAATATATTTTTGCAAGTTCCTTTTTATTGATGGGTGGACCTTGGATTCTCCGGTTCTTGTTGGATTCTAATTTCATAAGTCTCAACCACCATAGCTAATGACTGAGGAATTGGATCAATAATATCAAGAGGGACTTTCCTGTTCCCAAGTCTAAGTTTCAATCTTTGAATCTGCTCATTAATTGCCAGTCAGAAACTGACATTCTTTAATTTGAAACTAAATGTAACCAATTTCTGTGATATTGAAGAAACCAAATAAATATAAAACTATATAATCTAGTAAATATTTTTACCAGATCCGTGTTATGATGTTTTTTTCTTAGTTTCAGTAGTAAATTTGGGATAGGGGAGAAGGAAGAAGAAGAATGGCACTCATGGAACATTAAGATTAATTATAGGTGTGAACAGTTACTTAAAGGCACACATCTTCTGAGCATTTAGGAGGTGTTGCCTTCTACCTGCCCAATTTCAAAATCATTCTTCCAATCAAAAATTCAAAGCCTGGTCCTCTTTATAAAAGAAACTAAACTATAATTGTTTTAAGTTGGGAAGTTTTAAGTAGTGAACGGTAATTTTAAAAGATGTAATGATGACACCACTTGTGTTTTGTGAAATGCAAATGCCCACTTGCATTTGCTTTTGGGGAAGCTGCAGTTATTAGTTGAATCTGTTCACAACCTTCTCTATTCAGTTTGTTCATTTCGAGAAAAGGCAGGTCCCTCAGATCATTTCTGTTTTCCTAACAGTGGCATCTACTGCTATTAATATTTTCCTGATTGATTAAATCAAGCCAGCAACTCCCAACATGCTTTTCCTCTCACCCTCATATAAATTTTGCTATATGCACATTTGAGATAAGACTAGAATAGATCCTCATACGTTTGTTATCTGTGACAGTTTAAACCTTCAGTGGCTTCAACCACTATTATGAATAGTTAAAATGTTCCTTCTGGTATATTAGTTGGTATTAACTTAAAAATCACAGTCCTTATGGAGCAGCATATAAAGGAGCCTCTGTGGCGCAGTGGTTAGAGTGTAGTACTGCAAGCTACTTCTGCAGCCAGCTGCCTGAAGTTCGGCAGTTCAAATCCCACCAGGCTCCAGGTTGACTCAGCCTTCCATCCTTCCGAGGTGGATAAAATGAGGACCCAGATTGTTGGGGGCAATAAGCTGACCCTGTAAACTGCTTAGAGAGGGCTGTGAAGCACAATAAAACGGTATATAAGTCTAAGTGCTATTGCTGTGTCAGAGGCCTTTCAGTTTTCATACTTGCTTGATGCATTCTCATGATACGGAATATGATCCGTACCAGAATTCTTCCAGGTCTAGTAAGTGGGAAAAAAAACCTGCCTAATTCTCCTGAAGCAGAAATTGGAACAGACTTATTCTGTACAATTCAACATTTCCTTCAGAATGTATCCTTTATGATTATTGACTGAGAATTTCTACTTACATTGTAGATATTTTTCCCAGCATAATTTGTGCTACTTTTGCAAAATGGGCAATTTATGAGCCAAGCTAGATTACTGGCTGGATAAAGATTGTATAGTTTGAATTACAGATGTTTCTGTTGGTAGATGAGCAAAAGCACACAATCTTGCCTCGCTTTTCAGCCCCAGAATTCAGTATACTAGGACTACTGATCAAACTACTTTCTGTTCAAAACACATTTCTATAATGATTATATGTTGCTTAGCTTGGTAATGAAATGTGTATTCACTCGGATATCTTCCATCATTGTCCCTTTCTCAGTACTGTTCAGATCCATTGAACTCAAACCATCTGATGATAGGCTATTTTTGCTAGGCTTTCACTTCCGATTTCTCTCTCCTCAGCTTTCCATGCTCTTCACAGAGGAGTGTGACAAAGTACGTGATCTTATGCACGTGCATTCATTCAGTTATGATTTTCACCTGCGTATTGTGCACCAGTATCTACTTGGATCTCACATGGCATTACGGCAAGGTTATCACCTCACAAGCTTCTTGGAAGACTTCATCACCCAACATCCTGACATCCCCAAGTTTGGACGCAACCACATTTTTCAGGGTGAGGATTCCAGCAGAGTGTTTGGGGCAGTGGTGGGATTCAATTTTTTTTTTACTACCGGTTCTGTGGGCGTGGCCTGGAGGGCGTGGCAGGGGAAGGTGGTATTCACCGGTTCTCCAAACTACTCAAAAATTTCCGCTATCGGTTCTCCAGAACACTCAGATGGGGAGGAATATTTAATTTTAGTTTTCTTTCATGCTGATAAACAACCCACCATATCTTTTTTTTCAACAGGTACACTAGCTTTGCCTACCAACACCATCACAGCCCATCAGCTCTATAATTATATAACTGATCATGCCAGCACCTACCATATGAAACCCCTCCGCATGGCCCGGCCAGGAACTAGCAATGAGAGCAAGAAAGGGACTCCTAGCTCTGAGCAAAATGAATATGCCCTGGTCTCCATTTGGAACAGGTGTGTGAATTTAATGCACTTTTAAGGATTTGGTGAAAATTGCTATCACTTATTTGCTCCCAGAATTCCACATGCAATGGTTGGTCAGTGAATTTTCCAGTGCAGTCATGTAAAAGGCAATTTATCTGTACATTTATTAGGCACTTAGTACGACTAAAATAACGCCAAGCCATGCCTGTAACTTACAATATAGATTCTTGGGTTTTCTTGCAGCAAATTGACTAGGTACAGAATACATATTTGAGACAATATAAATGTATCATAATTTTGAAGCGTTATTTATTCAAAGTAAAACTGGCTCTCTGTGAAATTTATGTAAATTTCAGGAATACACAATTTTTTGTAGGTGAAAAAAGATTAGACTTGATTTCTAAGTGGTATGCTAGAAGCACATTTACAGAAGTAGTTAGGTGGGACTAAAACAAAAATGGAATTGGATTTCGTCTATATTTAAATGAAAGCTTAATATAGTTACTGTTATAAACTCTGCTGGTGAGTAATGGCAACTTTATGACACTTCAACAACTGTTAACAATTTTTGGAGGTTTGGGAGGAGCATGCCCAAGCTTTTGAGGGATTGTATGCTACAAGTTACACACCTGTATCTTACTTAATCCAGCCTCCACATTTTCAGCAACAGAACCCTTATTTTTGTAAAAAAACAAACAAAACCCACACATAATTTATTTAGAAGATTCCTTTAATCCTGGCCCTTATATTTTACATTTGATAGGTCCTCCGTGAGTCTAAAATAATAGTTTAACCTGCCATTCTCTGCTTACTAGTGCAAATAGCTGAAGAGAGAAAGATAAAACATTTGCTGCCTTTCCTAAACTAATAATCAGATCCTTTTGAAACTCCCATGTGAGCAGCATGGTTTTCAGATTGCTTGCAACTATTGCTTTCCACTCTCACATTGTTCCCACTTCTGCCTTTTGGTTGGCTTCTTTATTGCTTCTGCTGGAGTCTAATACCCACAGGGTGCTTTATTCTGTTCAAAACCTGTCTCATCCACTTTCTTTATAATAGAACAAGGCCTTCTGCCTCCCCCTCCAGTTGTGGCACAGGGTAAAGCCCAGTTCTTGCTGCCTGCATTTTAGGCTCTCGCTTCAAAGCACCAGGCAGTCTTTTCCAAGTTGTCAATTGCTTTGATTTCTAATAGGTGAGTCAAGCCCCTATGTAACTGAAGTGCTGAGTATATTCCTTTGTTGCCTAATCCTTTACACATAATTTCCTGAATTTGCTTTGCAGTTCATCATCCTGCTTCTAACAGGTCTAGCAAAGATTTGCACCCTTTTGAAATGCTAATGTTTGTATTAATGATAATGACGTGTGATTAAGATTTCTGATTATGCAGGATTAAGCCAAGAATGGAAGCCAGTCATCTTTTACAAAGCATATTAGTAGGCTCATATCTCTTCCGACACTCGAGGATGTTATAACTTGAGTTTAATGTACGCACAATAACAGATACATCTACATGAGAACATAAATATAAAGTTTGTCCTGCTAGTTGTATGGTTTCAAGGTGTAACAAGAGAACAGAGGCCCACACTCCTCATTTATCCTTTGCATTAGATTTACTTAAGATTTTCCAATTAGTCTTTTACTCTGTAACCCCATTCTTATTGAACTGTTCCCAGTGAATGTCTTTTAAATCAAGCTGAACAATGCACAAATAATGTTACACATTCCAGATATTCCCTATGTCTTTAGGAAAAACCCATAGTTCTAGAGTTGAGTTAAAGGCATTCCAACACTCAAGTTGAGGGTTAATTTCTTGTCTTTCTGCTTTTAGTTATGTCGAGCAGCCTATCATCATAGTAGTCTATCCATTAATAGTATACATTGTGGAGGAAAGAACTGCAGCTGCTTTTTTTTCCTCTACTGAAAGAATTCCCACACTTCTCTCTGCTCACAGCTCTGGTTCCTACAAAGATTCAGAGGGATTGCGTCATCATGATGATTTTGATGTGTCCCTGCTAGTGAGCCACAGTGCTGTGCCCTTTGAAGACCAGAGTGAGGCAGACCGACACATGTTACGGTAAGAGTTAAGGCAGGCCGGAAGACTAACAAGTTGGACAACTTTTCAGACTTCCCATTTCGAAATCTGGGGGTGCTTACAATGTTAGACAAAAGCTAAGCAGAGATATAGTTTAGCTGTAGTATATCAGTGGATAGATGGTCCAGGACTATCCAAGGGAAGGCCATAAGATATAGAGGGTGCAGGGAATGGCTTTGAAGGACAAGAGGAAGAACCGCCACTAAAGCAATGGTCAAGAAAGCAGGGTTGCATCTAAGCCAAGAAACTTGTCTCAGATGGGCCCTTCCCTAATTCACACAAAGGTAATAGTGAGGGAAGGAGAAAGCACATTTGGACTTGCCAAGTTCTGATGCTATGGTTAACTGCAATGAAAGTAGCATTGGATTATTAGTCTGGCCTACCTTGTTGGGTTGACATAAGATTATTGGGTTAGACAGATTACGGACAAGTTGGAGAGCAGGGAAGATGCCTTTCTTCAAATGTTGCTACTGGAGGCTGTGTATCAGGCTGTTGATAAACAGGGCCACTGGCAACAGGCATGGCAATTGTTTACCCTTTTCCAGGTTGCAATATTACGTAATCATGACAAGCCAACGGGAGCTCTTCCCTCGACTAACGGCAGACATGCGGCGCTTCAAAAAACTGCCACGCCTACAGCGAGAGGCACAAGAACCTCTCCTGGGACGCTCGGCATGGGAGACAGCAGAGGGTGGCCAGCAGCGAAAGGAAGTTTCAGATCCTTGGGAGGAGGTAGACGATCATGGCGAGTTCTATGCAGGTGGCCCCCAGGTCAAGGTGGGCCCAGGACTCTTCTACACCTCCCCACTGTTTCCATTACTTGCCTCGGAGGTTGCTGCCGCCCAGAAACAGCTCAGCACCATGGTACAATGTGCCAAGGGCCACTGTCGGCGGGACAACCTCTGGAAGAGGCTCTTCTTGCTGGAACCTCTGGCTTCTGACAAGCTGAAGCTGGGCAAGCTGTCTCTAAGTGAGCTGGAGGAGCTGTTGGATGCTGTGCATAAGAAGTCCATTGCTGACATTGATCCCCAATTGGTAAGTGGCTGAACTCAATCAAGGGTACTCCGTTTAATGGTGCTACTGTGTATGCATTTGTGTTGGGCCCCACAATAAGAGCAGAAGGCAGAAGCAGGCTATGAGCAAGAAAGGATATGAAAGAGATGTTGATGGCCTGCCTTGTTTAAAAAAAGAGACTGAGACAACACCAGTGGATTTGGGTGGATAAGTTTACCCGTAGGCTTAAGGTCTGCAGTAGTCAAAAGGTAGACTGGGGCAATAAAGTTTTGGATGGCCAGGTCCACCAACAGGCTAACTGATCTGCCCAACAAGTAGATAGTACTAACATGGTAAGAATTTGACGGCAGGGTGGCTTTTGTCCAATATATTTTTCTATATACAACTTTAAATTTCAGTTATTCTGGGAGCATTCCTTTCTGAATGCATGGTTTTAACATCTCACTTTGCAGGACTCTACCTGCCAAAGTTAATCTAGGGCTGGTGGAGAGGCTTTAAACGTGGTGTCGTATTGGGCTCCCAAATCCCATATTCATACAAATGTATGCAGCATTGAGCTTCACCTTAGAGAAAAACTCAAGGGAAGAAAATGCTAATAATACGAATAATGAAACATTGGAAAGCAAGGAATCAGAACTCTGGCCACAAGCATAATAGTCAACCAGAAACTAAGACCAAATGTGATGTGTTAGAAGAAAGCGTCTAGCAAAAGATCCAGTTCAGAAATAACTGGATCTCTATACCTTGCAGCTATGGAGAGAACACTTCAGGAAAGTATATGGGAAGGAGTTGGGCAGTGGCTTGGGCACCGCTTACGTTCCCCTCTCTTCTTTTTGGTAAGATGAGCCAGAGTGAATGGATATAGCTCATCCTAAATACAAAAATAGCAATATACATATGCACTCATCCTGACACCTCCACAGAAACGTATTATTTCCTTACATGGGGAAACATAACACTTTCTACGGCCACTGCTAGTAAAGATGTTGGAAAGAATTCCAGAAATCATATGTTGCCTATTTCGCATTCTCTGCATGATGCAAAGGACCTGCCCTCACTTTACCCATTTTTCCTTTCCTTGGCAGAGCTGCTTCCTCACTATGACTGCCTCCTGGTACCAGAGTCTTATCAAAGTCCTACTCAGTCGTTTCCCACAGAGTTGTCGCCATTTCCAGCATGCTGATGCTGGTACCCAGTACCTGGTAAGATATTTCCAGCTGAATTGTGCCCTGCTGGACCTTGCTGAAGTTCAACCCAAAATAATTCCTGATTATCAACCCTTACGAACTGGTAGTATTTTCACTATTAGAATAAAATTTGTATTTGTTGCTTTTCTAGCTTTTCTAGCACAGTAACAATGCGGTTTTAGGCTCTATCTGCCTCCCTCCCTCCCTCATCCTCTCTCTCTCTTTTTCTCTCCTTCTCCCTTCCAAACTCACCCTTCTGCCTTTCTCCCTCTCACACACACATGCTAACCCTGAGTAAGTTTTGAATTTGGAATAAGGGCAGGACCAGCCCTCTCTCTGTTTGCATACTCAAGTGTTGTGGCTCCGGGCTTGGATTCAGCTCCTGTGATTGATATTAGTTCAAGTGAAGAGGTTATGTCAGAACAATATGAGCCAGCCTGGCTTACTGATTGGACTGATAACCAGGATGAGGAGATGGACGTGACAAAGGACGACAGATCTGATGTATTAGAATTGTCAGGACCTTTGACCTCCTCTGGTTCCTTATCTGATCAACAGCCGGGAATGGCTGACAGGGAAGTTTTGAGAGAGTCTTCTAGTGGAGATGAGAACTTGGAAAATTTGTGGTTAAATGTAAAAAATAGAAGACGGTTGAAAAGGCAAAATCAGCTGGAGCAAATGAGAAGGGCAAGTCAGTAAATTAGCACGTTGCCTTAATGAGTATAAAAGGACACAGCTGGGCTGGTACATTTCGCCAGGAACAAAATGACTATTTGAGTGAGGACGTTACAGCAAAGAGCTCTGAGGCTGAGGATTTATTGCCAGGACTGGTTTGCCGGACAGAGTAAAGATTTATGCTGTGGTTTCTGCCAGCCGTTATCTTGTAAGACTTCTTTCCGTTTGATTTAATTGTGAAACGGCTGCTTTCTGTTTTGTTCGTTTGAATTTCGAAGGGGAGTCATAACACTCAAGATGTGTATATACATAAGTTTTCTAGTTAATCCCTAATGCCTTAACCATATTCTCTGTTCGCCTATCCTTCCACTGACTAGAACCTCTTTGTATGTCATGACTGTAATGCAGCACTGTTGCATTTTCCCTACAGGTTGTTCTGAATCAGAAATTCACGGACTGTTTCGTGCTTGTATTCCTTGATTCGCATTCAGGAAAAACAGTAAGAGCTTTATCCTCTGCAAACCTGAAGGTTAAGGGGGAGGCAATAGAGTTTTAGAGTAACTCCATCAGCTTGATTGTTTTTAACCAGAGATTTCTTGCACTCACAATTGCAGACCCCTAATCCAGCAGCTTCGGGTTTCTTCTTCTGGATTAGAACAACTGCCTTTAGACAGCTCTGATTTTCTTTATGGCCAATCAGGCAGTCACATCAGAATCTGTTCTCCGACCCGAATAGGGACTGAAAAACGAATATATAATATTTGGAAGTTTTGGGGCACTAGTCTGTCAGAAGTACTCTTGGCAACAGTTTGTTTGCCCCCAATTTCTATAGCCACCCATCTCAGTCAATGACTTTGGGTGGCTTATAATACAGAAACTATGTGTAACAAGGTAAGATCTAAATCTTGTTGATATTGCCTTGCAGAGCCTGACAGTGGTCTTTCGAGAGCTGTTCCCAGTTCAACCCCAGGACAGTGAAAGCCCTCTGCCACAACTTGTATCCACGTACCATCACTTGGAATCCGTTATCAACACAGCTTGCTTCAACCTCTGGACAGGGCTGCTCTAGAATCATCCGGACCTTCTGACTGCTTCACAGGCATCTACAACAAGCCCTAGAATGGAGGTGCCCTGACAGGACTGCGATCTGAGGCTGTAGCTTACTGGATAAGAAGTCAGAACACTGAATCTGACTAGGCCAAGAGGGGGAATCATGAAAACAGAGCAGTTCCAGGAATCAAGGAAGCAACTTGGCTGGCCCACTTAAAAGGGCAGGTTATGCTTATCCAGAGAAATTACTCTAGGAGGCATCCGAAGGATGGGCCATGTTTCTGGGGGCTCTTCAAGATGAAAGGCTAAAAGACTACTGGAGCCGCTGACCTGACCGATCGGTTAGAGTGACACTATTAAAGCATATTTGAAGGGATCTGCACAATGGCGGGAATGTTTTATATGAGGTGAATGTACAGTAAATAAATGGATGACATGAATTTATTTATTAAATAAATTAAATGGCTTACTAAGGACTTTGTTACAGATTGCCCAACAGGCTGTTGCACTGATCTTTAAGGAGAACCAGAGTAGACTTTTGTTTACTTGCCCAACAACATTCTGTCAAGATAGGTGGAAGCACTGCCAGATTCTTATCCTGTTGTTATATGATATGCTGATGTATTCTCTAAGACAACTGGCCTGGATTCCCATGAGTTCTGTCTAACACTTATCAGATCTTAATGTTACATAGTGGATCCAGCTATTTTTCTGAGTAGGACATGATGCAATGAAAAGGCAAATTTAAAAAAATCAAGGATTTTTTTTCTAGACCCACCAAGTGGCACTGTTGAGCTACATCTGGAGTGACATAACTCTTTCCTTTGGACCAAATTGTTTCCCATTAATTGTTTGCAGGAAGAAAAGGGGATGCCAGCATCTTTTGGGGGTGCGTACCATAATTTTGCATTCCTTTGGCCAGTCTTTGTTATTGTATTCAGAATGTGGAGGTGCAAATGATTTGCAACTTTAAAAAAAGGATCAAAGTAGAATATGTAATTGAGCAAGAAAGCTCCCAGCAGGAATGTCATTTTTATCATGGAACACTGAGTGACATAATTTTCAGCTTTAATCCAGGTAAAAACAAACATACTTGAGCATCTTACTTCACTAAGAAATATCATCCTATTAATGTAAAATAATGGGATGCTTTTGGTAGCTCAGGCAGTAGCAAAAAAGTAGTTGTTCCCTCTGGGAAGAATACAGCAATTGCTGCTGCTGGTTACTCCATCTATAATGGATTTTATTTCAGTTTTTTTCAACTTTTCACACACAATGATCTTCCCAGTACGCGTACAGCCAGCTTAATCCATCCAATGTGTTACCTGCAGAGGAACCATAAAGACTTACATTAAGCAAAACTAATACTTGGACAGCTAACCTCCACTCTTTGAGGTTGCAGGACTGGCCAAATCTTCCAACAGGCAATAATCAATGTCACAAGGTTCTTCCCGTTTGCACAAAATAAAACTTGCCTTTTGGTTTATATTCACAGCCGATATAACCACTATAATTCATTGACTCCAGTAACTGGAACAAGTAATGGAAGTTCAATTCTCCAGGGCTATCAGGCTCATGCCGTTCTGGTACTTGGGCAATTTGAATATGTCCTACAGAAGAAGACAGTAAATACCAGACATTTCTTATTTGTTCTACCCGATTCTAGCCTTGGCCCCTTAATTTTAAAAAACTGAAACAAGCAACAGTTTCTAGCTTACCAATAATTGGGAAATATCTCTTTAAATTCTGTGTCAGATTACCATTCATGATCTGGCAGTGGAAAATATCCTGTGGAGCAAAAAGTAGGTCTTCAGCTCAAGGCATAATCTTTCTCCTTTTTCAAATTCAGTATTGCCTTTGAATTTGGTGGGGTGGGGCAGAAAGCCTCAAATAGGGGAACAATAGGAGAGGTCTATATCTCTGATTCTGAATGGAAGCATCTGATCGCAGTCAGCATGAAAAACAACGTTGTGTTAAAATGGGCTTTGCCCTGATCTATTAAGACTGCATTCACATGGTATTAGAAACCAGCAGTTTAATTGTTGCAGGCTACAGGTAGTCCTCAACCTACAACCACAACTGAGCCCCAAAATTTCTGTTAAGTGAGACATTGAGCTTTGCCCCATTTTATGACCTTTCTTGCAACAGCTGTTAAGTGAATCGTAGTTGATAAGTTAGTAACCCAGCTGTTAAGTGAATCCGGCTTCTCCACTGACTTTGTCTGTCACGATGTTGGGACACTGCAACGATCATAAATAACCAGTTGCCAAGCATCTGAATTTTGATCACATGGGGAGGCTGCAAAGGTTGTGTGAAAAACAGTCATAAGTCACATTTTCCAGTGCCGTTGTAACTTGAACGGTCACTAAATGAACCGTTGTAAGTCAAGGACTACCTGTACAGTCCAAAGTGGCACCCAGGAACTCCAAATCCTCTCATTGTAATGGCAGTTGTGACTGGGATTGCTGTGACTGTCATATGGTCATAAAATGTAATGTCAGATGCCCACGTGCATCATTTAGCAATGGCAATCCCCACTGCCGCCCTAACGCCAAGAGATGTGGGTCTTTAAGCAAGAAGAGGAAACCCCAGGAAAGGAGGGCAGGGGTGGTGGTGGGATTGAAAGAGGTCCTGAAAGGCTGGCATAGGGTCCACGTGAATCAGAGAGGCCCTGGGAGGATCAGCAGAGGCTGCATGTGTGGGGGGAGGAAGGCCTGGACAGGGGGATGTTGCAGGCTACATTGCTAGTAGAAGTGGGCTGCAGGAAGAAGAAAAAGCAGGAGTGAATTATCGGAGCAATGTGTGGCCTCTGCTGGCTTCCCAGGTGACTTTGTGGAATTCCTAGACTAGTGAGAATTCCTAGACTAGTGAGCAGGCTATTCTGAGTCACCTACTGTAAGCAGTTGAAGAGCCCAACATTCCCTTAAAAGAACATATGATACTCACCAACTGTAGCTTCAAACTGGGTCGTCCTACCTTTTCCAAAATGGCAGCAGCTGAAAGAATACAGGTTTAGGTTATCAACTGATTTTATCCTCTCCATATCTCAGCATTACTACAGCCAACTCTAAAACACAAATAGGAACGTATGGGTCATGTGTAATTTCACAGATAGTTGATGTAGCCAATCCAAACATCCTAGTGACCCTCATTTCTGTTTCATTGGCTGCTGCCACCAAGAACCAAGCATTATGCATTACAGCATGTCTGCTGCCTTTAAAGCAGGGGTCCCCCAGCCAAAATGCCAGACTCATGGAGGGGGGCGTTGATTTCGTTAATTCCGAAGGAGGATGTAGATGCCAGATATATCAACAATTATAGACCAATCTCACTTTTAAACGCTGATTATAAATTATTTACCTCAATTATAGCGAATAGAGTAAAACAAGTTTTAAATTTATACATTCATGAAGACCAAAATGGTTTCCTTCCATCCCGCCAAATCAAAAATAATTTAAGAACCGTTATTGACGTCTTAGAATATTATGAAGTTCATCCAGAGAAACAATTTGCACTCATGTTTTTAGATGCGGAGAAAGCATTTGATAACTTACATTGGCACTTTTTAATACAAAAAATCTATAACATGAGTCTGGGCACTAAATTCGAGAACATTATCACAACAATTTACAATACCCAACAAGCCAATATACTAATTAATGGTGAACAAACAGGCCCATTAAACATTGAAAAGGGCGTTAGACAGGGTTGCCCCCTCTCACCCCTCCTATTTATATTTGCTTTAGAATCACTGTTAACGCGGATAAGACAAAACTCTGAAATCCAAGGAGTTAGGGTCAAAGCAGAGGAATATAAACTACAGGCGTTTGCAGACTATATGGTTTTCTTCCTAGAGGAACCCATGGAAAAAGGACATAACCTAATAAAAGAACTAGAACAATTTCGTTCAGTAGCAGGATTAAAGATTAATAGAAATAAGACAAAATTACTGACTAAAAATCTAACAGAGAATCAGAGGAAAGAATTAGAAAAAACCATGGGGATACAGGCAACAAAAAAGGTCAAATATTTAGGCATATGGTTAACACCACATAGTAAATCGCTCAAAGAGAATAATTATGATAAACTGTTACAGCAAATTAAGAAAGACCTAGAATCTTGGAATAAGTTGCAGCTTTCTCTACTGGGCAGGATTGCCACGATCAAAATGAACATCTTACCAAAACTCCTTTACTTATTCTAGACAATCCCAATTAAATTACCAAAAAATTTTTTTGAAGATATAAATAAGGTAACTCTTAAATTTATTTGGCAAGGGAAAAAAGCTAGAATCAATATTAAGGCTTTACAAGATGCAAAAAGTAGAGGTGGGCTAGCGCTCCCAAACTGGGAATTATATTATTGGGCAGCCAACTTATTATGGTTAAAAGACTGGGTCAATTTACTCAATAAAAGAACTTTAGCCTTGGAAGGGCACGATCTTCAGAGAGGATGGCACGCATTTCTATGGGATGTGGGGAAAACTAAACAGTCGTATTTTCATAGACACCTTATTAGAGATTCATTATTAACTAATTGGAAAAAAATATGCAAAAAACATTATTCAAAAATTCCGATTTGGCTTTCAACAATGGAGGCAATGGTTCATCCCAACAATTTGGATATAACAAAAACGACTAAATATAAAGATTTATTAGACCCTTTAGGAAAATTAAGAACTCGACAGGACTTACAGGAACAGGGATTTAAAATTGACCAGTGGTTATATATACAAATCCATAGCAGATACAAACAAGATATCAAAGAGTTTGGAATCTATAGCAAATTACAATATTTAGATAAAATCTTATTAGGATCAAATAAAAAGAATATTTCCAAATTTTATAAATATTTATTGGAGGTAGAATTAGAGCAAGAGATAGTGAAAGGGAACATGATAACGTGGAGTAGGAATATTGGAAGAAGCATTACATTAACAGAATGGGAAAAGATCTGGAATAGAAACATCAAGATTACGAAATCCGCGGCGTACAAAGAAAATATGTATAAAATGTTATATAGATGGCACTTACCCCCTTCGAGGTTAGCGAAAATGAACCCAAACACTAGCCCAAAATGCTGGAAATGTAAAAGCATAGAAGGAACCTACTTTCATATGTGGTGGTCTTGCAAAGAAGCCCAGAAATATTGGCAAAAAATCAGAAAATGGTTGGAGGAGATAACCAAAGAACAAATCGAATACAAAGCAGAGTTCTTCCTACTAGGGATCTCTGATAAACATTTACCTAAAAAGATGAAATATGTAACAATTCATATCCTAACTGCGGCCAGATTAGCATTCGCCCAGTGCTGGAAATCATCCTATATACCTACAGAACAAATGGTCATCCAGAAAATATGTGACTGTGCAGAAATGGACAAATTAACTATAGCACTTAAAAATAAAGAGTCTTCAACATTTTATGATAATTGGAACTCGTGGTATAATTGGTTATTTCAGAGATAAACTGCTTAATGAACAATGGGTAATTTAAGCATAGATATTGATAAGATGTGTGTATTTAAAATAAGGTAGGAGAACTGGATCTTGCAGACTGTCAAAAAGGATATCTGTCTGTTTTTAAATGTATTTTCTTTTCTCTTCCGTTTCTTTGTTTCTTTCTTTCTTTTATATCTCTTTTTCTCTTCTTTTTTCGGTTCGTAAGACCGAGCGTTTTTTTTTCTTTTTTCTTTTTCTCCCCCCTTTGTATATGTAATGTCGATATGTTTTTAATTGTAAACTCAATAAAATTTATTTAAAAAAAATAAAAAAAAATAATAAAGCAGGGGTCCCCAATCACCGGGCCGCGGACCGGTACTGGTCCGTGGAACATTTCCTACCGGGCCGCCGGTTTGCTGGGCGCCACCATCTTGTTTGACGAGAAAGTGCTTCCAGGTGAGCTTTTCCGGTTGGAAAACGGAGTTTGGGTCCTGAAGGAATCCTCGCGCCTTAGTTTCATCGAAGGGGGGGGGCTTCGAATGAAACTAAGGTGCGAGGATTCTTTCAGCACCCAAGGCAAAGCGAGCTGAGCGACCGTCCCGAAGCGAAGCCCATTGACAAAGGTACAAAGGAGGAGTTGAAGGTGGCGGGGAGAAGCGGGGGACGTCTGGCTGGCCGGTCGCTTGGCTCACCTTGCCTTGTCATGCGT